GAAATCACTGAAGTTCCAGCACTGCACAAAACTGCAAGTGCTGGATCTTTGGTGATTTCATGCAATGAATACTGAAAGCCAGATTGTTCTGGGGGCCTGTGGAGGGCAAACCCAGAAAAGCTAAAGGAAGCACTGCTGGTCCATGGAACCTTAGGTGGCTGGGGACTAATTAAGGAAGATCCAAGGTCATCCAGCAAAGCCTGGTCTGCAGGGCACAACCTCACTTATCCCTAGGGGCCTGTAAGTAGCAGGAAGACACTGAAGGATGCAGGGCTGGTGGCTTATTGGCTACTCTCCCTCTGTCCATAAGTTTACAATTTCAGAGAGAGACTAGCTTTAAATGGCTGTAGGGCCAGCAACAGTTTTAAATGCAGCCTGTGGCATAGCATCCAAGCACTCCTCTTATCACATTGTATCAGGACCGCATGGGAGTGTGAAGAGAATCACCTCCTCCACTCTGAAATAAAGACATTCATGCAGGTAGGAGCTGCTGCTATGGAAAAATATCAATTTTTATCTTCATTAAAATACATAAATATGTGACAGTGAGTGCTATGATAGTGTAACCAGATGCTGCACTGTTATTTCAGTAAAAATCCACTACTTCCCATGTGAATGTAAGTATATGTGCCTAAATGTATGACTGACTCTCTATATTTGTATGTGGTGAATGTATCCTAAATAATGACTGTGAGAATGTCTCTTATATGTGCCTGTGAGTCTATGTTTGTATATATTTATATGTGTGTGTGTCACAATAAGTGTGTCCCTGTATGCGTCCTTGAGTGTGTGTCTGTGTGCCTTTGCATGTCTGTGAGTCTATGTCTGCATATATGACTGTATGTTTGCATCTGTGACGTGCTCTATATATGTGTTCGGAATTATGTGTGAGTGTCTCTATATGTGTCTATGCGAATGTATACGTCTATACAGTTGCATCTTAAGTAATTTGTTTTGTAGGTGTGTATCTATATATGTGTTCTCTGTATATCTGTGTTTTTTAGAGTTGTCAGCATATTTCATGTGTATAAGTGTGTTTTTTGTACATGTGCACATGTGTGTGTGTGTATTTGTGCAAACATGACTCTGTGTGACAGTATTGCTTTGTGCGGGAAGGGGGGTGTGATGAAATATTTTTGAGCTCAAGTCCCAGGTATTTTCCAAACCTAACAATACCCTTGGTTGTCTGACTGTAAATACACAGAGGGGAATGAACCCAGGCTAGAATGCCGACCAACATACACTGCTACCCACCTTTGGTGGTACAAGTGCCAGCGCAGTGACAGGCAATGTGTCTGCCTATCACTGCTCTCTGCGCTGTTCTTCTTGAGAGCTGAGCTTGTAGTGGGCGGACATTTGTGACATTGCATCGCTTCCACTTCCAAAACACAGACCCACTCACTAGAAGAATAAGACAGACAAAACACATCCCCTGATTCTTCTCCTGCACTTATACCACCACGGTAGCAGTAAATTGTTAAATAAATATCAAACTATTTTTATAGACATATTGTTTTAAAACCAGACAGCACAGAGCTCCACTGCAGTAAATACATTTTTGACATGTAGCTCAGTTTTATTGCTGTGATATCACTTCCTCCTCTTCCCATCACACCCATCTTCTCACCAGTCACTCCCTCTCTTCCATTACACTTCACTCCCAACCATGCCCCCCTTTCTTCCAATCCCCTTTCACTCTCGGCCATTACTCCTCTCTCCCTACCCATATCTCCCTCCCTGTCACTGCCACTCACCCCTTCCTTCTCTCTACACCCTGTTGTCACTCTCATCTATTCCTCTTGTCTCTCCATCCTCCTATCACTCTCACCAATCCATTCCACTCATACTTTCCCTTGCCAATACTTATATTGCTCCCCAAACACCTTTTGCCAATATTTCAGAAACCAGAAAGTAGTTTTCACAGTAGTCCATGCCCAGCTTTGACCCATGACTTATATGATTATATATATTTTTTCAAAGGTGCAGCAGCATTCTGCCCCCTCCAGACTGCTGCCTTTGGCCTAAGCCTTCTTAGCCACGTAAAAAATATGATAAATATTCTGCACCTACAAACTAGATGCTCAATTCTGTCCCAAAACACACCACAGCCCCAATTTCCTCCCACACTATAATAAATGGGTTTAGTTGGTGGATTGCCCATGGGGGGAATGCTGTGAGCAACCTGTGGGCAGACTCAGGGACGGGCCCAGGACCACAGGCCTTGAGCTCTGTAAAGGCCCCAAAAACTACTGATGGCACTCCTACACACATACATTGTGTAATGCCATTGTATTACAAACATGTATTATTTGATACACGTGATGAAGAATTGATTCCTTTATAATCCTTAAAGTGACACTCCAGACCTCTAAAGCACATTAACTTGATGAAAAGTTTTATTTGTGAAGAGTGTTTCCTCTTTTTTCATTTTATACAAACAGCAGATTTCAACACAAATTGGCACTTTTGTAAAATCACCTGATTACACCCCCCTGGCTTTCAAGCAGTGCATGTTATTTCCTGGTTTGGTTTGCTCAGTGGAGCTAAACTCCATTGCAAAGACTGCTCATTGAGCTGCATTGGGAAGTCTGTGATTGGACAGCTACAGAAAGTCCAGACAGGGTTAGAAGGGGAAGGTTTGCAAAGGTTGCAGACAAAAGATCTGCAGGTGTTGCAAGCTCTTCCTATATGGTAAAAACTCTTAAATACGTGTAAGTATTAATTTGGGGTATATGTACTTAACCGTGATTTCTATTTATTTTGTATTTGGGCATTGGAGTGTCCCTTTAATTGCCTACCTGATTATTTTTATTTTTTATATGTGTTTTTTTTCAGTTAAGGCATTATGCCAGTTTGAGTAATGAAGATTAATAGATGTATCTCTCAAATTGTATAAAGTGAGATAATTTAAAATCAGTGGTGTAATAAGCTTTATATGTGTGTATACATTTTACAGAATCAGTACATGCGCTAAATATTGTATTTATGTATTTTAAATTATTTTGGTTGATGTCTCAGTAGCACTGCAAACCTGTTAAACTACATTTTTTCATGGTTATGCTTCTAATTAGTAGGTATATCCATATTATAATAATAATCATTGCTTTTTATGTAGCAGATGATAGTCTAGTATAAAATATAAACAGTATAATTAAAGGGTTATTCCATTATTATTGATTTGAAGTGATCATGGTGCCTGGAGTCTCTATGCCCCAAGTTTCACTATGAAAATCTGCACATGAGATTAACCCATTAGCTGCTGGAGGTGTGGACAGCCAGCCTCATTAGCAAGCCCAGGACAAAGTTCTAGCTGGCTAATATCAATTCTGTGCAAAATTGACATCTGATACAAGCAGCCCTAGCTTGCTCTTGCCAGACAGCCTATGGTGGCACAGAAGGGGAGGCCATATCTAGTGCCAGCATGCTGAGGACGTCCACCCCTCAGTTCACCCTTCTTGTCCTCTCTCCAGCAAGGGGGAGTGACGTCATTAAGGAAGGTAAGTTTTTTTTAATTATTATTATGATTTTGCATTTGGCGGAGAGAGAGCAGACCACCAAAGAAAGGGTTACTACAACCAAAACCGGTATTTTATGAAAACACTAGATTTTGGTTGGAGTAACCCTTTGATATAAATACTTTAAAAATCTATATTTGATCAGGGAATTCAGAATTCCTGGCTGCAGAGACAAAGCATTTGAATCAGGCTGCTTACACAAGACACAATGTCAATGGATATAGGATAAAATGTATGGGAGTCCTGGTAGTTTCACTTCACAATGTAATATATAATTATAATCTCACCTTGTACTTAGGTTGCTTAGTCTTCAGAAATATTTTGCGCTGGTAGAGTTACTACACAGACTACGCTGTACGTTTATTGCTAGCATACGCATAGCTGATGGTAAAATACTGACATCTACTGGTGCATTCATATATATGAATTTAAACTTAGGTCATGGAAATCCAGTTTTGTATTTTGAGCCTGAATAATTGTCCCTGATTATTTACTGTGGAATGATATAGCTACTTTCAGTTGCCTGTGCACCTGCTTATTAAATATCTAGTCAGCCAATCACGTGACAGCAACCCAATGCACAAAAACATACAGATATAGGTCTGAAAAATCAAAATGGGGAAGAAACGTGATCTTCACCAAAAGTGACTTTGACTGTGTAATGTTTGTTGGTGCAGATGTGGTAGTTTGAGTGTCTCAAAAACTGTTGATATCCTGGGATCTTCATGCACAATGTTCTATATAGTTTATATAGAATTGTGCAAAAAGAAAAATATCCAGTATGTGTCAGTGCTTTGGACACAATGCCTCGTTAATAAGAGAGGTCAGAGGAGATCTGACAGACTGGTTTAAGGTGACAGCAACTGTGCATTACAAGAATGCTATGCAGAAGAACATCCCAAAACTCATTTAGAAAAACTCTCATTTTAAAGTTGAGCACACCAAAATTCAACAAAATTGAACATGGTGAAATAATGTGCAATTTGTTTTGGTGCACATTAGGCCCCTGAACTGAGCATTGTTTAAATGCCGTACCAACCAACTTTCCTTATTTAGAAGGGACAGTCCGTATTTCGGATTCCAATCCCTCTGTCCCTCTCTTCTATAGTTTTACAGTTTATAACAGTGCTCCACAACAATAATACTCACAGTATTGCATATTTAAACTGTAATAAATGTGTTTAGAAACCAGTCTGTTTAATAAAGAAACTTTGTTCTTATTGTAAATTACATTTTAGTTGCATAAATTGTTATTAATAAGTTACCTAAAATTTCTGAGAAAAGCCCTGTCCCACACCCCCAGTCACACCAATAAAATTAAAGTGTCTCGCTTTGTCCATTTCTTAGAAATTCCGGTTGCGTTTACTACAGCTCTGTTGGCTGCTATTCATGATACAGATCTCCTTGTTCCACCATATCTAAAAGGAGATCTACTGGGCTAAGATCCAATGACTGTGGAGGCCACCGGATGCCATGAATGGGAAGATGCATGTAGAAGACGAGCAGACTGTGGCCATAAATGGGTATACCCATTTATGGCCACATTTATGGCCACAGTCTGCTCGTCTTCTACATGCATCTTCCCATTCATGGCATCGGGTGGCCTTCACAGTCGTTGGATCTTAGCCCAGTAGATCTCCTTTTAGATATGGTGGAACAAGGAGATCTGTATCATGAGTAGCAGCCAACAGAGCTGTAGTAAACGCAACCGGAATTTCTAAGAAATTTACCCAGTAGTTTGCCAAATCTATGCCACAAAGGCATCAGGCCTTTTCTGTGGGCAAAGGGAATCTGACCCAGCCTAAGAAATAGAAATATATACCTAATAAAATGGCCGCTGAGTGTACATACATATTATGTGATATTTTATTTAATTTTAGTATTTTAAATGACAGATCTTGTTTTAAACAACATAAATCATAAGAATCGCATGGTCTAAATGCTTTATTCCCAAAGCATTCCTGGATCACAGGATTTGTAATCCTCGCAGCCAGTGCATTGTGTAATGAGCCTCAGTGGTCGTTTGGTGGTAACGGACTACCTAATCGGTAAACCTGACATGCATGCAAACAAGGCAGTGCAGCCCCCATGTGTACAAAACTGTGCAAATGCTCTGTACAAGCATAACATCCTTGAATTTTCTTCAATGTGAACATGTACTGTATGAGAATGTTTTTCCCACTTTTGGTTGTATGAGGATAAACAAGGGATTAGAAAGTGGACTTTGTGGGTGTAACTAATGTTTTTGCATTCGACTAAAGATAAATAGATTGATGTAAGTGAAGGAGTAAATCTCTTTTCCTCCTCCTGATACAGAACGGAGTGTATTTTTATTTAGTAATGAAGGCTGAGGATTTGTTAGGTATTGTATGTGTATGTGTCAATATCTATCAGTGTTTGTTTTTCAGAAATACTGAAATTAAAAATAAGTAAATTATGTAATATAAAACATTTCTGACCATTAGGGGAAAATAAGGCTATATTGGAGTTTGCCAAGAAATACAATATGTGTGGGATTCAGCTGATGAATCTAAAATCAAATGAAATAAACCATAGCATAATACAGTTTTAGAAATGTAATATTTCCTGCTATAGATTGCACTCGCAGGATGTTGAAAGTATATGCGCTCTATTGATGCCTCCCCCGATATTTTGGGGGGCTAGTATCTCCCTCTTAGGATCAAGTATCACCTGGTATCAGGAACCATTCAGGACTCCGACAGGTAGATAGGTCAAAAGGAGGTTTATTGGTATAAAAAGGATTGGTCTTACGTGTTTCGTCCACCAGGGGACTTCCTCAGAGACCAGTATACAGTAAATCACAGTGAGTAGATAATGCTCCCAAAAAAACAGCAGCCTTTCTTGGAGTTTGGAAGCATTCTTAAACCACATAACCTTATGCATAATAGTTATGGTGTATCCAAAACCCTGAGTTGCATTGTTTTTCTTATTAGATGGCTCACAATGAAATATTCCAAACTTTTACCTCAATGCTAAGTTATTAAAACTAGCATACCACACAACGACTTGTAGAAATCATTTTGATGTTACTTGTGATTAGGTGACAATTCTCCAGACCAGTTCCAGCTCACAACAGAAATAATAATCATTTTAATAATTTGAATTCCATACTTTAATCTTTTTTATATATGATGCATAAAATGATCGGTAAATCCACCTGCCCCTTTAAAAAGGATATGTGCATCGTAAAATGTATTATATTCACATCACATACTTCATGCTGCTAAACACATGGGCTGGGGATACTGTCAAGCTCCTGTTATGTTATTTTAAGGCAGCCAGATCTACTGTAGGCTTACCTTGAAAAAAATGGTATCAATATATAATACCCTTTCATTTCATCCTGTGCGATCTGCGTACTTGCTTTCATCACTGTACAATGCATGCTGACTTGTCGCCGTGACAGAATGCAGTCATGTCTCATCTAACTTACATTCACTCAACTACTTAACACCTTCAGTTCATGAGGTGCCACACTCCTTTCTAACCTGTAAAATCGGGGTTGCAGGGTCTGTGTGAAATCCACAGACTCAGTATTGTATACCAACATAGTACCATGATCATGGTAATAAACCAGCTGTACAACCCATTCATACCTCAGGGTTAGTAGTTATGTACATTGCACAATTGACTTCAGACCAGTCTTCTTCAGAGAGGAGAGAAATTTAGTATTTACCCTCGTGTGTGTGTGTGTGTGGCCTGCACATGCATAATAGGGATACAGCTGACACAAGCAGACCAGAATATGTTGAAGGGTGACTGAATGGCATCCTTTCTGGGTTACCTAATAGCAGCAGTGATTTTTACAAATTGCTACAGATATAAGCTACACTCAACCAGATCTATTTTCTTCTGATTGCTACACATCCCTAAATTGTCATGCCAGTGTTATGCCATCTGTCTGTAAAGCTGTACTGTTTCGTAACTACTGTCTGGTTTTTGCTATTATTTCCATATAGAGAAGGTGACTGGTGGGAAGCTCGGTCATTGACGACTGGTGGAACTGGTTACATCCCAAGCAACTATGTGGCTCCAGTGGATTCCATTCAAGCTGAAGAGTGAGTGTCTTTAAAATGTTTAATCTGTAATTTTTTTCTTGTTGTTGTTTTCTTTTTCTTTCAGCACAGAAAAAAAAGAAAATACATTGATCATAGTTTTGGCCAGCTCATGTGTTTTCCATTAAGGAATTTCAATATGTTCTGCATATGTCAAGTGAATAAATTCCTACACTATTTTTGTGGGTATGGGACTGCAGTCTTTCATAAAAATCACCAATTGCACAATGAAATAAATAACTGAAACTCACTTGATGTTAAAATCTTCTTTTTTTTTTTCTCTTGATCATCTCATCTTTATTTAAAGGGGCATTCTTTACGCCATATGTCATTTTTTTTTTTTTTTTTTATGTGTAAAAACATAGCTCTTTCTGAGAAAGGGCAATGTTTAGTTTTGTCTTATACAATCAGGGTTATTCAAGAAAGTGAGAATTCAAAGTGAATTTCAAATTTAAGGCCAATTTAGCCGAACAGAAAACATAGCTGACTTACAGTATTTTTCCATTTCGACTATAAAGACCTTCAGTTTGAATTCCCTTTGAATTTTCACTTTAGTGAATAACCCTATATGTCTTTAGCGGCTATCAAATTGGAATCCACAAGAGGTGTTTCTGCATGAAGACCTTTGAAGATCAAAGCTGTTCATGTTTGGCGTCCTCTCACTCAGCATGAGGAGCATAGGGTTCAGTTCTTCTCTCGGAAAAGCATTGGAATATTAGAGATTCATTTTAAAATTATTTGTAACTTTACAAAATAATAAATAAATAAATAAAATGGGGGGGAGGAGGGAGCATGTTACTAGTCACATTATACTTCTTCTATCTTTCCCTTCACACTGCCTAGCTACGGTAACACATACTGACACATGGACAAATAAACTGGCAAAGATAAATACTGACATACACATATGTAAACTGATATAGTCACCGAAACAGAAACTTACACGAATACACTATTACATACTAAAACACATACATACTGTGTCTAAATTTTATAATTGGATGTCTGGCAGCACCTTGTTCACGGTATAATCTACCCCGCTTCACAATATTAATACTAATAATAATAATAACAAAGAATTTACCAGGAAAGGTAAATTCAGAGTCCACGTACGTCCTGGGGAAAAGCCAATGACAGATTTTTCTATCAGACAGCAGCTGTGACACTCCTCCGTAGACTTTCCCACAGACATCATGTTTTAAATGATCTGACCCTAGTCAGTAGTGTCAATATCTTCGTTTTATTCCCCCACACTACTGTCTCTATTCCTCACTCGACAGTGTCACTTTACATCTTCTCCCAAACCAGTGGTCGACATACAAGACGACAATGTCTCTCTCACTAATCTTCTCATGTACTATGTCTCTTTATCTTTACCCGTGTGTCACTGCCCAATGCCTTCCTCTTACAATGGTGGACCAACAGCTCCCTGAGAACAAGAAAACATGTTCTATTGCCAGCACAAACATCCACCACTCTTATTTCATTGTGTAATGCTTTGTATAATTTTTTCATGTGCTTGTCTTCTTTATCACACACTAGGGAAGTGAGTAAGATGTGTGCAGAAAGTAGGACATGTACATATGTATTTTTTTATTGACCTGGAAAATAAACTTGACACAAGCCTAGAGACACCAGCTACCTAGGACGTATTGGCTGTTCCATGTTGGCAGGCCTGAGAGCCTTTCCAACAAGTTTTGAATGGTTAGTTGTCTAACCACTGGAAAAGCCAATAATTTCTGACTAACTATCCTAGTGTTTGTCTGTTTCATTTTTTAGGTGGTATTTTGGCAAATTGGGCAGAAAAGATGCAGAGAGGCAGTTGTTATCCTTTGGAAACCCAAGGGGTACTTACTTAATACGTGAAAGTGAAACCACCAAAGGTAAGCTGTTTCTTTTTAGACATGAGTAACGCTAGCAATTTCTCTTGTTTTCAGTATTAATTTAAGATGTGTTTGTTCAATTTGCTAAGGATTGATTTGCAGTTGGCCCACAAAATTAGACCTCGATTTAATATTTTTGGATACGCCATTGAAATTATTTATTATTTTGGATAAACGGTTTAAATTATTTCTTTACAAATATTAGTATATGAAAAATATAAATTAAAAAAAAATTAAATATGTTTAAAAACATTAAATAATTTGAAACGTTTATCTAAAAATATCAAATATTTTTATCTAACAAAATCAAAGCCCTAGTTATTACAAATGTTTTACTATTTTTGGGTGTAGACCCCTCAGGCATGCATGGTCTACTCTATGTCAAACATTACCCGCTGGCTTTGAGTACATGGGTTTGTTGTTTGCATACTTGATGAAAAAAGAAATTAAAATAATTATTTATAAGTACATCATCCATTCCTGGGCATACCTTTAAAGATCATGTACAGTAATGGTGTTTAGTGAGATGGAGGAACTATTCAGTTATGCAGTTCCTCTTTAATATGAAAAATATATCTATGTAAAACTTTGAATTTCTTTGGAAAAGTATAGTAATTGAG